GCCTGGTGAGCAATGTGGCCACAGTCTGGCTTTGTGAGTTTGCACTACTTGCAATAAGGCTGGTTTGACATCAAGAAAAACAAAAACATTGGAAATGCAGCTTGTTTGTTTTTCTAGATACCGTGGGGAGGAACGGATCTTAGTAGTTGTGCATCCGCAGCTGGTGGATAATCTGTAAGACATCCTGGGGTTATACATTTTTATAAATGTAAACTTTCTTTCAATACTGAAAAGATGTATTCTAACTACCCGTGTAGCTATCAGACCAGTACAATATCTCCAATAGGGATAAATAAAATTTTTTGTTACTAGAATGGGAAGATTCACCTTATAGTACATTTTGTGTGGTTCAGAAAACAACGTACGAAAAAACCTTCCAAACCTTCATCACACTATTCAGAACTTACAGCAAGGTTCTCCTTCATTGAGGCAGCACAGTGGCTAAAGGGTTAGCACTTCTGCCTGGCAGTACTCGGGTTGCTGGTTCAAATCCCAACCACGGCACCACCTGCCTGGAGTTTGCATGTTCTCCCTGTGCCTGCGTGGTTTTCCTCCGGGTACTCCGGTTTCCTCCCACTCTCCAAAGACATGCTGATAGGTTAATTGGATCCTGTGTAAATTGTCCCTAGTATGTGTATGTATGAATGTGAGTTAGGGACCTTAGATTGTATGCCCCTTGAGGGTTAGGGACCTTAGATTGTACGCCCCTTGAGGGTTAGGGACCTTAGATTGTACACCCCTTGAGGGTTAGGGACCTTAGATTGTACACCCCTTGAGGGTTAGGGACCTTAGATTGTACACCCCTTGAGGGTTAGGGACCTTAGATTGTACTCCCCTTGAGGGTTAGGGACCTTAGATTGTACGCCCCTTGAGGCTTAGGGACCTTAGATTGTACACCCCTTGAGGGTTAGGGACCTTAGATTGTACGCCCCTTGAGGGTTAGGGACCTTAGATTGTACACCCCTTGAGGGTTAGGGACCTTAGATTGTACGCCCCTTGAGGGTTAAGGACCTTAGACTGTACGCCCCTTGAGGGTTAGGGGCCTTAGATTGCACACCCCTTGAGGGTTAGGGACTGATGTGAATGTACAATATATATGTAAAGTGCTGTGTACATTGACGGCGCTATATAAGTACCTGAAAAAAAATAAGTAAAAAAACCTCTACACTTGCCTGTTCACTACTGATCTGCAGGAGTGTATGGCTTGGAATTCTTGATGAAGAGCTGCTTGACCAGTCATGTCAAACAATCACAAGTCTGCCAGCGCTTGAAAACAATGGTCACTTGAGCAAATATGGTTTATGAAATGTTTGGTAAATTTTGATCAATCTTTGCATTTTCTAAACTTTATTAAAGTCTATGGAAGGGGGGAGGGCAAATCTTATTATTCAGTTCTGGCCATTTGTTGAGCTAATAGGCTATTGTCAATCAAAAGGCATGGGATGCCAGACACGGGCAAGGGGGACATGTTCTTATGCCAAAACTATGACCAGGGACAAAGGTTGTGCACTCCGTTATCGGTTATTCCTTATTTCTGGCAGTGGACCTGAAATGTTTCTGCCCAAAACTTTGCAAATTCTGGGGCATGACCACAAACCTACGGCAGTAGCAAACCTGAATCCCATCAGTAATAGTCACCTTTCCTTCCATAGGAGGATGTGTCACCTACTGTAAGTACAGTTCCATCTTGGATGTCCAATAAACAAGCTGAGGTGGTACCTTCAGATATGCTTTGTGGCTCTTTTAGAACATTGGATCAATAGGGATTCACAGCTGAGTCATCTTGCTAATCAGCAATAGGGGGATCTTTACAAATGTTTATTGGCTTCCACACTGGTCTGCTTGGCTCATGAATGCTACATTTTTGTCCACCCCTGTGTACAGTTGTATAGTATAGTGTAGTATGTATCAGGAGCGGACTGACCATTTGGAAACTTGGGCACTGCCTGAGGGCCCGGGGTCAGTAGGGGGCCCCATGAGATGCCCCTGGTACCTTTTTCATAGGCTTTTTTGAGTTTGGGCAAGGACACAGGGGCCCCATGATCCCCTATTTCCCGGAGGCCCCATGAGTTGTCAGTCCGCCCCTGGTATGTATATACATGTCAGGTGTTTGATGGACCTTTACTAAAGAAAACTGGCATGCTCTTACCTCCAAACTGCTGTTGCCCAGCTCCATTGCTTGATAATTCTAGTTGCAACTGTCACATAAATCCCATCCAGACATTCCCAGCTGTTATTGGAAAAGACGTTGTTTGGTACGTTGTCTGCTTTGACTGTTTTTCATCTTGAATTTGTTCCCTTTGTCCTTCTGTTTTTTCTTCTTTCCTTTTCTTCTCCACGGTGAGGTAAATTGTTCAAAGAGAGCAGGCGGAGGAACAGAACAGTTAAACTGCATGGAAAATGAGTAATAAGAAGAGAAATTAATAAAAAAAAACATTTTGTAGGTACTCATTCAGTTGATAAAAGTAATAGTAGTTCATTCATTCGATTGATAAAAGTAGTAGTAGTTCGTTCTTTAATTGATAAAAATAGTAGTAGTTCGTTCATTTAATTGATAAAAGTAGTAGTAGTTCATTCATTCAATTGATAAAAGTAGTAGTAGTTTGTTCATTCAGTTGATAAAAGTAGTAGTAGTTCATTCATTCAATTGATAAAAGTAGTAGTAGTTCGTTCATTCAGTTGCTAAAAGTAGTAGTAGTTCATCATTCATTCAATTGATAAAAGTAGTAGTAGTTCATTCATTCAATTGATAAAAGTAGTAGTAGTTAGTTCATTGAATTGATAAAAGTAGTATAGTTCGTTCATTCATTCAATTGATAAAAGTAGTAGTAGTTAATTCATTCAATTGATAAAAGTGGTATTAGTTTATTCATTCAAATGATAAAAGCAGTAGTTCATTCATTCAGTTGATAAAAGTAGTAGTAGTTTGTTCATTCAATTGATAAAAGTGAAAGTAGTAGTTCATTCATTCAATTGATAAATGTAGTATTTCATTCATTCAATTGATAAAAGTAGTAGTAGTTCATTCATTCAATTGATAAAAGTAGTAGTAGTTCGTTCATTGAATTGATAAAAGTAGTATAGTTCGTTCATTCATTCAAATGATAAAAGTAGTATTAGTTAATTCATTCAATTGATAAAAGTAGTAGTAGTTTGTTCATTCAATTGATAAAAGTAGTAGTAGTTTGTTTATTCATTCAGTTGATAAAAGTGGTAGTAGTAGTTCATTCATTCAATTGATAAACGTAGTAGTTTGTTCATTCAATTGATAAAAGTAGTAGTAGTTCATTCATTCAATTAATAAAAGTAGTAGTAGTTCATTCATTCAATTGAAAAAGTAGTAGTTCATTCATTCAATTGATAAAAGTAGTAGTAGTTCATTCATTCAATTGATAATATTTTGTTAAAGTACAACCTCAGTCCAAAGAAATATTTTGATTGAGGAGCAAAAGTATCAAATGAAGCATAGAGCACCCAGGACAATTTTGGTAAGGTGTGTAGTGACTGCTGCTTGAACTTTGTGCTTTAACTAAACCCGGGTCAGTTCCTGACTAACATGGTGCCTCTGTACCATTTTTAGTGTTCTATCGACAGTCAGCCTTTTCACCCAGCAGCAGGTTCTCACAACAGAGAGAGTGTGTGAGAAAGAGAGTCCTGAAACTAATAATGAGGTCTGGCTACAAGGTAGGATGTGGACCTAGGAAATGGAAGCTTCATCACACCCAAAGCTCTACAAAGCTTCCAGACTCCAAGACCCAGAACCCAGAATCTGGAAAAAAAAAACTAAAAGTTTTTCTTCACATAAAGTTATAAAAGATATACACAGTGGGGTTGATTTACTACAGGTAAATATACTGTGCATGGCAAGTGCAAATGCTTTAGATCTGAGGGGAAGCTCTGAAATGAGGTAAACCTCTGAGTTTTTTCATCCAACCATGTGCAAGCAAAAATGCTGTTTTTTTATTGTTTTGCATGTTCCCCTAGGTCAGTGGTGGGCAACCTTTTTTTTCAACTGAGCCAAATCTCGCCAAAACCACGATTGAAATTTATTTTGAGAGCCACATTTTTAAAACTGAAAATACATAGGATGGTACACTGTTTTTAGTTTCAATAAGTTTTTATAGTAATTCATCCCCCATAGTAATTCATCCCCCATAGTAATTCATCCCCCATATAGTAATTCATCCCCCCTATAGTAATTCATCCCCTATATTAATTCATCCCTCATATAGTAGTAGTAAGTAGCAAGTAGTAAGTCAAGTCCCTCCTGTGTCAATTCACTTACCTTTGCTCCGCGCGTTCTTCTCGCCGTGTTCCCGCGCCGTTCCGGTCTTCAGGGCGGACTGTGAGAGGAGCCTAGCTCCTCTCACGTTCATCACGTTGCCCCGCCTACACACATCCTGACAGCCAATCACTGGCTATCAGGATGTGAGTGGCAGCGAGACTGGCCAATCATTGCATTTGAGCGCGCTTCCCTGGCTGTTTTTTTTTTTGGATCACGCTCTGCGGGCCGGATTAAAAGGTCCGCCGGGCCGTAGTTTGCCCATTGCTGGGCTAGCTGCAGAGTCCTAACTTTTGGGGCGGCCGCCCGAGAGGAGGGAGGGGTGCGGGCGCCCGGCACACAGAAGAGCCACATTAAAGTGTGTAAAGAGCCGCATGTGGCTCGCGAGCCGCAGCTTGCCGACCACTGCCCTAGAGCAACTGCTTTTTCAGCGCACTTGGAGTGCATTTGCAGTGCACATCTTGTTTGCTTTTAGTAAATCAACCCCAGTATCTATATATCAATCCAGGTGGGGAACTGCAAGTTGAAATGATCCAACTCTACTCAACTAGTCAGGCAGACTCCAGCCAACAATTATAAGTCCTCATGCACACTTGACTTTTTTACAGTGGCTGTTTTTGGCTTTCTTTTGGAAAGAATACCCCCTTACATTGGCAATCAGTGGAAAGAATGCCCCTTACATTGGTGATCAGTGGGAAGAATGCTCCTTACATTGGAGATCAGTGGGAAGGATGCCCCTTACATTGGTGGCCATTGGAAAGGATGCTCATTACATTGGAGGTCAGTGGGAAGGATGCCCCTTACATTGGTAGTCAGTGGGAAGAATGCTCATTACATTGGAGGTCAGTGGGAAGAATACTCTTTACATTGGTGGTGAGTGGGAAGAATGCTCCTTACATTGGTGGTCACTAGAAATAATGTCCCCTTACATTGGCGATCAGTGGGAAGAATGCTCCTTAAATTGGAGATCAGTGGGAAGGATGCCCCTTACATTGGAGATCAGTGGGAAGGATGCTCATTAAATTGGATGTCAGTGGAAAGAATCCTCCTTACATTGGTGATCAGTGGGAAGGAGGCTTATTAAATTGGATGTCCGTGGGAAGAATCCTCCTTACATTGGTGATCAGTGGGAAGAATCCTCCTTACATTGGTGATCAGTGGGAAGAATGCTCCTTACATTGGGGGTCAGTGGAAAGAGTGCATTATATTGGTGGTCAGTAGGAATAATGTTTTTCACATTAATGATCATTGGGAAAATGCTCCTTATATTGGTGATCAGTGACATGAATGCTGCTTACAATAGCGATCTGTAGGAAGAAAGCTCCTTACATTGGAGATCAGTGGAAATAATACTCCTTACATTGGAGGTCAGTAGAAAGAAGGCGGCAAAAAAATCATGGTGTTAGGTGTAACATATCTAAGAGGCAAAATTGCTCAAGGAGCCCTGATTGAGAGAGACTGATCTAACGAGTGAACTGCTATTTCTCTGGGCATTCTTATCCTGGAGAAAGGATGCCTGGAACTAAAACCAAAGTTTCTTCACATTCAATACAAATGGTATGAAAGCATTTTAAAGTGCATTAATAAATATTACAGCACTTACTCCTAACACCGCAGGGAAATATTGTAGGCAGCAGTAATAATTTAAAAACTGCCTAAAGTCAAATGCTAATTTCCTACGGTGGTTGTATCTTAGAGGAAATCTATTGTCGTTCTGAAGTTGTTATTTATACATAGGAATGAACATGATCACCTCAAGACCCAACTCAGGTCAAAACTTTTCCTTTATGTATGGACAGATTGGAAAAGAGTTAGCATTTCTTTTAAATTTTTACCAGTTCCCATAACCCCAATGGGGAGGAACTGGTGTTATTAATTATTATACAGGATTTATATAGCGCCAACAGTTTGCTCAGCACTGTACAATATAAAGGGAGACAATACAGCAACAATACAGTTCAATGCAAAAGGGTTAGGAGGGCCCTGCTGCCCGAAATTAATATACCCCAAGGACAATGGAAACCTAAATTAAGTTGTATTCCTTCCCCATTTCCCCAAAAATGCTTTGGTTGGTGTTTCTTCCCTATCTCGGCTGACCCATTTTAACCAAGAAAGGAAGTGAGAGGAAATCTCTTCTCAATAGAAAGACAGATGGCAATAAAAATCCAACAGAGAAACTTTTTTCCATGCTGACTTCAAGCTCAGCTAAACTGTTTTATATGGAAAAATGGGAACAAGACCTAGGTGACCCATTGATGGTGGAGGAATGGTGTAAGATGGCACAATGCACATCTAAAACATACATTAATACCTCTCTAATTGAGGCCAACTATAAAGTGTTCCTAAGGTGGTACATGGTACCGGTGAGAATTGCAGTCTGTGTCCTGAGAGTGTCCCCACTATGCTTTGGGGCAAGGGTCTTCAAACTGCGGCCCTGGGGCCAGATGTGGCCCTTTGCTTGCCTTTACTTGGCCCTTGGGGCACTATTCCTTCCACTGATAAGACACACTATTCTGCCAACTGATACCAACAATAGGGCACCAATTCTCCCACTGACACCAATAATAGGGCAGTATTCCTCCCAAGGATACCAATGATGGGACACTAACACTCCCCCTAATACTGAATGTGGCAATGTTTACTCCAACTGATGCTGGGAAAATTTCCACTCCCGGTAGCCACAGTCTGGCCCCCCTAAAGTCTGAAGGACAAAAAACTGGCCCTTTGTTTAGAAAGTTTGGAGACCCCTGCTTTAGGGGATGCGGCCTGAATGGGACAGTATTCCACACGTGGTGGTCCTGTCCGAAAGTGAAGAGGTTCTGGATCTACAGTACATGTACCATTTTATATGCCCTCACCCAGTTGAACCTCATAAAATCCCCTCAATGGGCTCTTTTGGGACATCCAGTAGAGGAGTCGCCAGGACATATAAGGAGACTAATTGCATTCATCTTTCTTCTCTAGTATTGTCTACATTTGTATGCATTTTGAGCACACCTTCTGTCATTAGTTCTAATGTTGGCTTCTGCACCTTTGATTGTAATACAATAAAAACTATTGAAAAAGAAATTAAAAACCCAACAGAGGGTCTAACTCTTTTATGCTTTTTTCAATGCTGGGGAAGCTGCAATAATTCATTGGTAATTGCACACAACAGCGCACAGATGCAAATGACTTCCGTCATTCAAGTTGGTTTGATAAGGATTAAAGTGTATGCAAACCCTAACAACTAACTTCCTTTCTTTGCTCCTTTTTTCCACTTAAAATATTTATTGGTTTCCAATTTTTACAGAAAATGTAAGACTGGTACAGCGGTTGAAACCACAATCAGTGGCTCAAAAAGTAAAAAAAAATGCTTTGCAATGCGCAGGTAAAGGGGGAAAAAATCTGAGTAATGAATGATCAGACCAGGGGCGACTGACCATTTGGAAACTCGGGCACTGCCCGAGGGCCCTGGGTCAGTAGGGGCCCCATGAGATGCCCCTGGTACCATTTTCATTGGTTTTTTCGAGTTTGGGCAAGGACACAGGGCCCCATGATCCCCTATTGCCCGGGGGCCCCATGAGTTGTCAGTCCGCCCCTGGATCAGACTAATGGTAAGCTAACAAAGAAGGAGACCAGACAGAAGGGCAACCTTCAGGGGAGCAGGACGACCTACCTGGATGGCTGTTTTATGTTTGCCTTACACCTGTAGAATTTCATTTCAACATTTGAAAGTGAAAGTATCAATATTTGTCATCCAACCATTTGATGGTGCCTTCATTATCCCGTATAAATTTGAATGACTTTTCGTTCAATTACCATGTCAATGTCTTGATTTTTGTATAAAGATTTCAGTAGGCATGGAAGTGATAAAACCTTCAAACCATCCTACCTCCTCCTACCATCTAGGAACTGTTCACTCGAACAAGCCTCAATTTCTCTTGCATTTGGGAGCAATATGGATTGTGCAGATAAAAAGCCAGAAGTGTATTGTTATAGAATTGGCCATTCAGAATTAAAAGAACATAAGAAGAAGAAGAAGAGGATGTTGCGTAAGGGTTGAAAAATGGTGATTACTTCTTACTAAAAAACATTCTGCTTCCGGATTAACTTTGAAAAGTGCATGCGCATTAGACCACTTCCAATTTTTCTCGACTGGAAGCCAATTCAACAATTAGAAATTAATTTATTCCTATCCAACCTACACTGTATAAAAAAAAGATCTGTGTACTTACCTATTTTCAATTTGCTCCAGCCTTGTTGCATGATCCGGCAGCTCTGTGTAAGGGAGCACTCTGGTGTATTCTGAAAGGCGTGATGTTATCCATAGGCTCCTATGGCCCAACTGTTGTCGGTGCTCCCTCCTCTCCCCTGCAGCCACCACTCACTGACAGAGGGGGGCTGGAGTTGACATTATCCATAGGCTCCTATGGCCCAACTGTTGTCGGTGCTCCCTCCTCTCCCCTGCAGCCACCACTCACTGTTACACTGGAGTTGACGTTATCAGGAGGCTCCTATGGAGTTAACGTTGGTCCCTCATAAGCTCCATGGCCCATAGCCCTATGACCCAGCTGTTGTCGGTGCTCCCACCACTCCTCTTCCCCTTCCCTGCAGCCACCACTCACTTACCTACAGTTTGCTCCAGCCTGGTTGCATGAGGGCTCTGTGTAAGGGATCACTCTGGTGTATTCCGGAAGCTGTGATGTTATCCATATGCTCCTATGGCCCAGCCGTTGTAGCTCCCTCCTCTCCCCTGGTGACACAGGAGGGCTCCATAAGCTCCTATGGCCCAGCCATCCCCTCCTCTTCCCTGCAGCCACCACTCACTAACAAAAGAGGGCAGGAGTGTTATCCATAGGCTCCTATGACCCAGCCGTTGCCGGTGATCCCTCCTTTCCCCTGCAGCCACCTCTCACTTTAAAAATGTTTACTTCCCCTTTCTCTTACCTATCTACCTACACTGTATAAAAAAGATCTGTGTACTTACCTATTTTCAATTTGCTCCAGCCTGGTTGCATGATCCAGCAGCTCTGTGTAAGGGAGCACTCTGGTATATTCCGGAAGCTGTGATGTTATCCATAGGCTCCTATGGCCCAGCCGTTGTTGGTGCTCCCTCCTCTTCCCTGCACCCACCACTCACTGACACAGGAGGGCTGGAGTTGACATTATCCATAGGCTCCTATGGCCCATCCGTTGCTGGTGCTCCCTCCTTTCCCCTGCAACCACCACTTACTGACACAGGAAGGCTGGAGTTACAGGAACACATGAGCGGATTAAAAAGAGTTAAGTACACATATCTTTTTTATATGGGTTAGGCAGGATAGGTAAGAAGAGTGGAAAGGGAAATTTGTTTAGAATAGCTATATTATATTGTAAAGCACTGAGCAAACTGTTGGCGCTATATAAATCCTGTATAATAATAATAATAATAATATAATAGTTAGGCTTTGTTTACCCTGTAAAGGCAACCTTCCAAACAGAATGATGTTTTCATTTTCAGGGTCACTCTATGCGCTATGAGCTTTTTCTTGATAATTAGAACACAGAAGTATTTACTAAAACATCTGCTGGGTTTGCATTGTGTTACATCATTCATGAATATTAAACAATGGAATTTGGTTGGGTTATTTTCCTGACTGCTGGTAGCGGCATGCACAATTCATGACATGCTAATGATGAATCATTACGTTGAGGTGGCACTACGTTCTTGTCACTTGGGCCCTATTAGGGCTCACACACCTTTCTCTGCCGTCTGTGTTAATTAGCATCACTTCCCTAGCTATATACACGCCGGATCGTGATAGGGCAGAGCTTTATTTTAGCTTGCGGTTGTATTTTTGGTAGAATGTTTTTCAGTGCTATTTATTTTCCATATTATGCAACCAGCCAAAGCATGCCTGTTCAGGGCTTCAGGAAGGCCTGGGAGGGCGAATATACAAAAGGGTGCA